GTATTTGATAGATGAAGATTAATGTGAGAAACTGTCTTCTTATCCTTCAGTAATTTCTCCTCCGCGGTCAAAATTGCAAGCATCTTGTCAATTCCCAGCAACGCATCATCCAAATCTAGTTGTGCGAGTACTGCACGTATCTTAACCCACCATAGCGAAAATCTAGTGCTCTGATCCAAAAGTGAAATGTTATTCATGGAAGTGATCACAAATAAAAAAAACCTCGAACAAATCAAACATTACGCTCTTGCAAAACTGCTTAACTTAGTGCTCTGATACCAATTGTTACAAAATAATCAAGATACCGGATTGAGATGTTAAAATTATATGGCAAATAATATTGAAATATTTGATCAAGCAAAAGAATAAAGAAGACAAGAATATGATAGATGAATTATGAGATTTTATTGACTAAAGAATAATAGAAAAGAAAGTTAAAATGGATCATATAATTCTAGTAATATATTTTCTCAAATTATAAAATTATATAGAAGAGTAGTATTTATAAAGATTTTATCAGATGATTGAATTTCAGGTTCAGAATTTGTTTCAATTCTGTTGAGTTGAGTACAGATAGAATGAAGAACAATATTTGAAAATTTATTTTGAGACATGACCTTTTTGATATCTCTAGAAATAACATGAGAATCATCCAATCTTTCAATTTTTTTGAAAGGGGAGGCACAAATATCAGTAGTACGATGTTGGACTATGATTTATTGTAAGGGAGGATGAATAAATTGAAAAGTTTCACCTGAAGGTGTTTTCCAGGTTTTCTTTAATGAAGAAGTATTTTGAATGGTTTTTGTTTTATTCTTTTTAGGAAATTTTTTAAAAACTTTGAAATATGTCCATTCATAAAAGCTGATGTCTTCTTGGGATTTATCAAACTCATCCCAATAAGAATCAATATGTTCTTTGGTGAAGGATTTTTTGAATAAATGTCTAAATTTTTTAACTTCAGGAGTTTGATCAATTTTGAACTCATTTCTTTAATTAACTTTTGAAGAAATAACATTACATTGGCAATTAAGTTTTTCAGATTGAGGAGGAACCATGTCTGAAAGAGTTGGAGAAGTAGGAGGTGCTACTTCTTTATCGTCATTTTCAGATTCATTTTGATAGAATGGTTTAGGGATTTTTGGATTAAAATTGACTCCTTTTAAAGAGGAAGTTGAAAATCTAGCTGTTTGAAGATAGTCTAATCTAGATCTATCATCAGATCTAGAAGAAAAGATCTTTGAAGAGTATTAGAAGAAGATGGTTTATCAAATATAACTTTGACACTTTCATCAGGAAAATGAATAATTTGTTATGCATTTCTTCGAACGGGGGTTGGAAATGGATTTTGTACATTTTCAAAATATGATTCTAAACCTCTTGCTTGAAGATCTCAAGGAATCCTTTTAGGAATCGTGATATTTGAATGAAGTGGATTTATCTCAACCAAAAGACTTTCGTCTCTCGAAGAAGATCTAAGAGCACGAATATTAAGTTAAGTGTTTAAGAGCTTATAATATACTCTGTATATTAATGCAAATGCTCTTGAACAATCATGAACATTGAAGTTTTTGGTTTGAATACGTAGATTGAGAGTATTGACAATAGCTCCATCATGAAGACTAACAGAAAAATTTGGATAACAGTTTGAAAAGATCGTACCACTCTCGAGATTAGACTTAAGCATAGATAATAATGAGTGTTCAAACCAAGATTCTCTTATCTCTTAGAGTTATGAGAACATGAATGTCAAGATCAAGTCGAAACAATGGTTTAACAGCCATTTGAACAAGATCAATATGAAGATAATGAAATTTCTTTCTATGAGCTTGTATAGCTTCTTTCGAAAGTAAATTGATAGAAGTAATCCGTTCCTTTATAGGAATAGTTTGTTCTAAAGTTTTGATGGCATCATTTTGAGTAAAATCAAGTTTTCCTATTTCATATATAGAACTTTTGTATACCTTTGGAATAGTCCAATTTTGAAGTTTTTGTTCAATTTGNTTTTGTATACCTTTGGAATAGTCCAATTTTGAAGTTTTTGTTCAATTTGAGCGATTTGAACTTCTTTTGAATTGAAATCATTTGATGCAGATGCAGATGCAGATGAGGATGCACAAATATTTTGATCAATTTCGTCTTTATCATCTTGAAAATATTTTAACATATTATTATCACCTTTTGAATTTCCACAAGTACTGAACCATTTAGACATGAAAAACATAATTAAATGATGTAAAGAAAATAGTATTCTTACCACTGTAGACACAATGCTACATGTTAGACCGATGATTTACCAAAGCCTACAACGGGTACCACCCTAAACGCCTATCCCGGCAAACACGAGCTCACCAAACCGCTATTCAATAGACATCCATGGCTATACACCAATATAACCTTTGACACAGTAACAACAATAATATGACACAGTTAACTCACAACACTCTTTTATGGCTCTGATATCAAAACGGCCCAAGACTAGGGGTTGTGAAGAAGATATAAGAATATGTCAAAACTAGATCAAGAATTTTGAAATATAAATATTGAAATAAAAAAGTTATAAGATTATTTGAAAGAAAGATAAAATTACAAGAATTCTAAACTTTCTTAAAGGTGAATATTTCTCGCAATTTTCACACTTGAGGAAAACAAATGAAATCTTCCTCTATAAATAGCTTGAAGAATTTGGACTTGAAACAATCTTGAAGTAATTTGAAGAATCTTGAACATTTGCTTGATTTGAGGAGCTTTTGTCTTTGTATCCCACTTGTCTGTTACTTTCTTGAAACTATTGAAATAATTGTCCTTCCTTCCCGACTTTTGATGCATCTTTATTAAAGTAGCTTTAATAAAGTCATCTTTTGAGTATTGGCAAGGCTGGCAAAAATAATTTATTTGCTGGTAGGCACATTTTGAAGAGCAAATCTTTTGATTTCTAATCCCTGTATTCTTTAAGTTCATCGAGAAAACTAAGTCCAAATAGTCATTTTGAATTTCTTTGAGTTTCTTCTTCGATAAGGTCATCGATATTATAACCAAAGCACATGTCTTCATTGCTTTGTTCATAATCTTCTGACCCCGTTGAAGAGCACTTTGAACTCAATTTCTTTGATGATGCTTTTGCAAGAGCAGCACTTTTGTCTCAAACAGCTTGAAGTTCTTCCGGAGTAGAACATTGCAATTAATTTTGATTTTTCAGTGTGAAAATCGGCCTTTTTGTCAGCTTCTTTTTGAGATAATTTTGAAATACCGAAAATTTCTTTGTTCTTGAATCCATGAATTAACCGCTTTTGGACAACAATCTGTTTTGAAATATTCATTCTTTTGTCTTCCCAAGGGTGAAATCCTTAGTCTTCGTAATCATACCATTTGGATATATATTTTTGAAAAGCCGATATGTTTGGAGTCTTTGCAATTTGGAGTGTGAGTAATAATTGCAGATCTCGTTTTGATAAGAATCGCTTCATAAAACTCACGTGTCTTTTTGTCTTTTTGATATTTGAAGGAAGGAAATGAAAATTTGGAGGAAAGAAATCCTGTAATTGAATTGTTTTTGTAAAATATGAAAAGGATTTTTGAGGGTTGATATCAGGAAGTTTTCTTATACATTATTATTATTATTATTATTATTATTATTATTATTATTATTATGTGCCAGCTTCTATTTCTTGGTTGGCTTAGTCGGCATGCAATGTAAATCCAATTATGAAGTACCATTAAGTTTTGAAAATGATGATTCGTTTAGAACAACTGAATTTTCAAACTCAATTTGATTTGTACAACACCATATTGAGATTAAGGGATGTTGAAGATGTGAAAAGATTATAAGATTATTCTGCTTGACAAATTTTTGAATTGTATAAGATTATTTTTCTTAATGGTTAAACGTTTAATTTTTACACAATCTTTCTTTTTTAAAGATACTTATTGCACTGTAATATCATCTTCTATTTTATAGTAGTACAATTTATAATAGGGTCAAAATTCACCATCCTCCAAGATATTTTGCTGTCTATCATTTTTAACTTCATTGGGCACCAACAAATCATGGTGCACTACAGAATTTGTGCCTTTTTCTTGATATTCCCAATCCTATTCCCAATCCACTTGGTCAGCCATGTATCAGTCTTTTTTCAAGCATCAAGCCTTCAATTATTTCTCCACATTTGTTATCTTGACCACTCTCTAAAGACAATTTGTTCATGTTGCGTCAGATATCATTTTGGTTTCTACTCGTGGTTCAAGCGAGACAGTTATATCTGACTCTGATAACAATTGATACGAACTCATATTATTTGTATCGAAATAATTATGCTAATATTTAAAGTAGAATTGATCGAGGGAGTCTTGACCTGTAAATTGAGTTTCGAAAAACTCAAACATTCTCAAGCATAGAATGCCTAGTAAATTGTTCAACCTTTATTTAATACTTATTTGGACTTTAAATATGAGATAATTTAACTCCATGCTTGAACGAAGACACTCAATCGGCCCGACTTTCCCAATTCTTACCCTTCTCCTTTCCAAGTCTAGATTTTTCGCATTGTTCCGGTCATCATGGTCAACGGAAAAAAAAAAAGAAATGAATGGATGTTATTTTGGAAAGATGTAGAATAATACATTTATTGAGATGAAAATCAAAGGCGAGTTATTTACATATTAAGCTCATGTTTGGTGTGGATTAAAATTATAATTAAAATCAACAATTAATTTTAACAATAAATATTGTAAGATTCTCAACTTTTCAACAACTTAGATCAATTTTTATCAAAATTTATTAAACAAACATAAAATTCCCAAATCATGTAATTGGTGCAATAAATTAAGGAAAATATACATAAATAAATAAATACCTGATAAGGAACCTTCCAGAAACCGAACTCTCTCGAACCACCAGAAATTTTATCCACGACCCCCTTTATAAACCGCGAGCAGTGTATCGTCACTCAAAACAATCAACTTCTCGCAGAATTTATCCAAAATCACAGATATTTTGCAAAATGTCGATAATTCCGAGCTTTTTCGGCCGCCGATCGAACGTGTACGATCCATTCTCACTGGAAGCCTGGGATCCATTTGAAGGCTGGCCACTAAACACAGGTTTCCCGCAACTATCGGGCAATTTACGATCCAACTTCCCATCGTCTTCTAATTCCGAGACCGCATCATTTGCCCATGCTATGATTGACTGGAAAGAGACCCCCAACGCTCACGTTTTCAAGGCCGACGTGCCGGGGCTGCGGAAGGAGGAGGTGAAGGTGGAGCTTGAAGACGATCGGATTCTTCTGATAAGTGGAGAGAGGAAGAGAGAGATGGAGGATAAGGGCGATACATGGCATAGGATTGAGAGGAGTAGCGGGACTTTCATGAGGAGGTTCAGGCTGCCGGAGAATGCGAATGTGGATCAGGTGAAGGCAAACATGGAGAATGGGGTTTTGACTGTAATTTTACCAAAAGCGGAAGCCAAGAAGCCTGACGTGAAATCAATTAAGATTTCTGGTTGATTTTGGGTTGAATTTGCCAGTCAATCTGGTATATTATATAATATTTATGGAGTTTCTTCGTTTTTCTCAGTCTATTAGTTTGATATGTGGTTTTGGGAATATGGTAATGGGAATGGAAGGTTATGATTATAAACGGTGGTGTGATTTTCTTGTGAATTGTAAGAATATTGCCTCTAGTTGTCTTAATTTATTTATGTTAACTGTTAATATTCTTTCTTTGAAGTTCAGCATTTGATAGCTTCTCTATTGCATATTGGAATCGGAAACTGAGAAAAACTCGGTTGAATTTGATGGTATGCTGATTTTTAATTCTGATGTTATTTTAACCAATGTTGTGACAAGCAGCCCGGGTATTGATCAGAAGAAAGGCATAGGGTCGAAAGGGGGTTGAGTCCGAATGACCGAATTGAGTCGGTTGTAAAAATAAATATAAAGTTTATATATAATTACACAAAAATTGACAAAAATAAATTAATTTTATATTTGTAGCAATTTAGTGTGTTATTAAATAGAATCAAACGGAATATATTGGAATGCACTAATGCAATTTTGTACATCATAGTTTACAGAATGATGACTTGAAAGAGAGAAGAAAAAATAGGAAAGAAAAAAGATCAGTTAATAGAAGAATAGAATTATTCAAAAAAACTTAAAGAAGTAGCATTTTTTGTTTCCTTGTAGCACTTTTATCTTTTAAGATCAGTAATCCATCTTTTAAAACTAAAAAATATTTTTAAACAACTACTGATATTCTAGAGATGGCAATGGTCGAGTTGTCTTGGCCTATATAAACTCGAGCTCGGATCGTGTTACAAAATGTCGCTCAAACTATTATTTAAAAAAAAATATTTAAATCCTTCTTTTTTCGAATTTCAGACATATTACTTATGAGATGGGATTCAAATTTCACACAAAGAAGTAGTAATGTTTACAATTTTTTTTTTTCATTAATGAGGAATATTAAAGAAAATTAACTTGTACGTGCTTTGATGAAGTAAGATCATTTAGATCGTCAACTATTATTCTACCCACTTTATCTTGGATTCTGAACTATGCGTCTTTCGAGTCCTTTAAACACATTAAGCTTTCTAGTATATATTCTTTAAGTTTTGATTTGTACTTAGAATCCTATCACGTGCGCTAAAAGGAGACTTCGATGTTATAGTACTTATCGAAGGTATTAATTGATCACATGCTATAATGGAAATAATCGGATATTGACTTTTGTTCTTTTTTGAAACTTAAGTACGTCTAAATATTTTGCTTCTTTAGACTCGAAGATGCCAAGCATGTGGTTAGCAAAATACCTAGTTAATTTTGAAATTATTCCATTTATACCTATATTTGACGTACCTTGAGTTAGGAAGGTTGAACCGGTTGAATTGGCCAATTTGATTTTTAGAACATTGATTAGAACAATTCCAACTTTGGCCACGATCAATTTCAAGGTTTCAAACATTTCAAATTTTGTTTTAGTGAAAAGACTGGGCATTGTTTCTCTAGCTTAATCAGATAATGGTGGTGGTTTCATGCGTTCTCTCTCCATCCTTGATTTCTAGTGAGGTATCTGTACTTGGAGCCTAGTCGTACAACAACGTTAATTTTGCAAATATGGTATTTTGATTGCTGAATCATGCTATATGTGTCAAAATGTAGAGAGAGAGAAATGTACAAAGACTAAATTAACCCTATGATACATAATGTAATTCAACACGCCCCCTCAAGATGGAGAATAAATATTCAAAATTCCCATCTTGAGCAACAAAGATTTGAACTTGGCTCCACCTAATGGTTTCATTAATAAATCTGCCAACTGCTCCTGTGAGGCAATATGTAGTGTCTTCACTTCACCTGCTTGGATTTTATCACGTACCAAATGACAATCAATTTCTATATGTTTTGTGCGTTCATGAAATACGGGATTACTAGCTATATGTATAGCTGACTGATTATCACAAAACAACAAAGTTGCCTTAGTGTGTTGCACTCCCAAATCTCTAAGTATGTTCCTCAACCAACTGAACTCACAGACAGCTGCGCCATGGACCAATATTCTGCCTCAACTGAGGACCTCGAAACTGTGTGTTGTTTCTTGGATTTCCATGACACTAGTGAGTTCCCCAAGAAGATGTAATAACAGGTAATAGACCTCTTGGTGTCGGAGCATGCAGCCCAATCGGCGTCACAGTAGCCCTTAAGATGCAAGTCAGATTTCTGAGCAAAGAACATCCCTTGCCCAGGTGTTCCCTTTAGGTATTGCAATACATGATAAGCCTCTAGATGAGGCTGCCTTGTTGTTTGAAGAAATTGACTGAGCACTCGGACAACATATGGCAAATCAGGCCTCGTGATAGTCAAGTACAGAAGCCTCCCTACTAACCTTCTATACATGCTTGCATCCACAATAGATTCACAATCATCTTTACTCAACTTCAGATTCTGTGGTAATGGATTGCTAACAAGTTTTGCACCAAGATATCCTAAGTCTGTTAAAATTTCCAGTGCATATTTCCTTTGGCAAATAGATATGCCATCAAAATTTCTTGCCACATCAAGGCCTAAGAAGTATTTTAGGACACCTAGATCTTTTAGTTTGAATTGTTCATTCAAACCTTGTTTGACCTCAAGGCCCAAGAAGTATTTTAGGACACCTAGATGTTTTAGTTTGAATTGTTCATTCAAACCCTGTTTGAATTTTTCAATGTAAGTGAGATCATTCCCTCCAATGATAATGTCATCAACATAAATGAGAAGTGTGGTGAATGAGCAGCCTTCTTGTTTACTGAATAAGAGTAATCAGATTTCGACTGCCGGAAGCCTTGAGAAGTAATGTAAGAAGACAACTTGGCGTTCCATTGCCGGATGCCTATTTGAGGCCATAAATGGATTTGTTTAACTTGCAAACCAATTTCTCACCATTCACCCCCTGCTGCTCATAGCCCTGTGGCATCACCATGTACACTTCCTCCTCCAAGTCACCATGTATTAAAGTATTATTAATGTCAAGTTGATAGAGGTACAATCTCTTCTGTGCAGCAACAGCAAGCAAGGTTTTCACTGTAACAAGCTTGGCAACTGGTGAAAACTTCTCCTCATAGTCTAGGCCAGCCTGTTGGATGAATCCTTTGGCCACGAGCCTGGCCTTCGTTCTCTCTTCAGTACCATCAGAATTTAACTTGACTTTGAAAACCCACTTGCAAGCAACATGAGTTTTATGAGCAGGCATAGGGACAACATACCAAGTATTATTGGATATTAGAGCATGATACTCTGCATCCATGGCCTTGCACCAATCTGGATCCTTAGAAGCATCAACAAAAGACTGAGGTTCACTGCTTGTCGATAAGGCTACAGCATAATGTCTGTGTAAAGGAGACAGCATACTATAGTCCAAGTAATCTGCAACAGAGTACTGAGGCCCAGAGACAGGATGATCTACCATGGAATTTGATTGGGGAGGAGACGTCTGAGATACCAGGCTGCAATGATAGTCATGGAGATAAGAAGGAGTCTTTTTGGATCTGTTGGATCTTCGAGTAATGAGAGGAGGTGGAATAGAAGATATGGTAGTAGATGTGTCAGGAGAAGATGTATGAGGTGAAGGAATGTGAGATGATGAAGTATTTTCTGAAGAGAATAGAGATGTAGTTTGAGCAGAATCAGGAGAGTGAGGAGTAAGAGAAGAAGTGACATGAGAAACTTCCTCACCAGAAGGTGGATCAAATATATCATGAAAGGAATGAGGCAAGGTAGAAAATAGATTTTGATCCTTATGATAGGACATGGGGGAGATGGACAAAGAATGAAGAAAGGTAGGATGTTGATAAGGAAAGATGGTCTCTTGGAAAGACACATCTCGTTAAAAAGCTTGTAAGCCTTCATGCCATAGGAGTAACCAAGGAAAACGCAAGGAGTAGCTCTAGGATCAAATTTTGTACGATTTCTCTTAAGGGTAGAAGCATAGCAGAGACAACCAAGGACCTTAAGATGATTTTAAGAAGGAGTGACTTGATAAAGCATTTCGTAAGGAGATTTGTTTTCAATGACAGAAGTGGGTATCCTATTGATCAAATGTGTGGCAGTAAGGATGCAATCTCCCCAAAAATGGTGAGGTAGACTCGCCCAAAACTTGAGAGCCCTGGCAATGTTGAGAAGGTGTTGATGTTTTCGCTCAACTACCCCGTTTTGCTGTAGTGTCTCCACACAACTCAGCTGAAGAATGATACCTTTATCACAATAAAAGTCAGGCATAATGAACTCTAATCCATTGTCAGATCGAAGGTTTTTGATATTACATTGAAAGTGTGTTAAAATCAAGTGGTAGAAGGACTGGATAATAGATTTAGTTTGGGACTTCTCACGTAAGAGATAAGTCCGGGTCATTCTACTGTAATCATCGACAATCGTTAGGAAGTATTTTGATCCATCTAGAGAAGGGACAGAATACGACCCCCAGATATCGTAATGAATGAGATCAAAGATTTTAGAAGATTTTGTCTCACTATTGGGAAAGGGCAGTCTGTGTTGTTTGGATTAGGAGAAATAACAGGAATGGAAGAGACTTGTTGGTGAAGAGGTGATGACTGATCATTGTGCTGATATTTAGACTGTTGAAGGTTGTAAAGCCCATTCTCAAGCATGCCTACCCCAATCATCTTCCATGTTGAAAGATCCTGAATAAAATAATGATTACGAATGAATATGATGAAGCAATTATGTTGAAGTATCAATTTGCTAGCAGAGATTAAGTTGAATTGAAAAGATGGTACAACTAAAACATTGGTCAATAGCAGATCATTAAACAACTTCATTATCCCAATATGTGTAGCTATGGCAATGGAACCATCTAGTAGTCTCACAGAGGCATTAATTTTTGTATTCATAGTAATCTGTTTGATAGAACAAACCATATGCTCTGAAGCTCATGTGTCCAATATCTATTTTTCTGCAGCTATGGAATCATTAAGACCCATACGATTACCTGAGAAAGCAAAGGCTTCTGGTACTTGAAGAGATGATGGTGATGCTGAAATCACTTGCTGTTGACTGCCAGTAAATGTGTGTTCCTTTAGATGTGGAGCAAGCATTGCTAAGATCTATTGAAACTGCCCTGGAGTGATGGTAAGGTTTGATAATGGATTCACAACATCATAATTAGAATTGTGAGATGCTGAACCAACTATATTAGCAACTAGATCCTTTCCTTTTGCTAGCCTGTGACCAGGAGGATAGCCAATTATTTTGTAGCATTTACTTCTAAGATGTCCAATCATTCCACAGAAATTGCATACAGGTTTGTCCTTCCTGTGTGACTGATTAAACGAGTAAGTTCTTTGATTGAAAAATGAGTTTGGAATCATGCTACCAACAAAGGCAGCAGCATCAAAATTCTGCTGTTTCTTAGCAACTACTTCCTTCTGTCTTTCATCTTGCAAAATTAAGGCAAAAACTTTATTGATTGGGGGAAGTGGATCCATCAGCAAGATCTGACTCTAGGCGTTCGAAAATTGATCATCTAATCCCATCAAAAATTGCATGACCTGATCCTCAGATTTGTAATCAACCTTATTTACACTAGGTCTATAATTTTCAAGTTCTTCCCAAAGTCCTTTCAATCTATTGAAATATGAAGTTAAAGAATTGTTTGTCAGAGAAATAGAAGCAATTTGCTTAATTTCATATATTCTAGGGGCCATTACCTTGGTTGTATCGATCTTTCAACTCGATCCTGAGTCTTTGTGCATCACACTTGGGTATAATTATTTTGGAATTGAATTAATAATCCATGAAGAAACCACATGGTTACAAAGCATGGTAAAGAACATCCTCCTGAGGTGGTTCTACAATTGATCCATCAATAAACCCCTCCTTGTTCTTCACACTCAACGCCATGATGACAGCACAGCTCTATGTCACGTAATTATCCTCAGCGAACGTGACTAAAATGAGCTGCATTCCAGTGTTATCACCGTAATGTAGGTAGTATGGGCTATTTGGATCGTCGACCAATCTATTCATCACTGAAATCACATTTTTAGTAGCTGTTTCTCTAGTAATTCGATCGACTGGAGAGTTAACATTGATATCTGCTTGAACGTCAGAATCTTTCGCCATTAGCGTGTGGAAGCTTCAACGCTCTGATACCATGTCAAAATGTAGAGAGAGATAAATGGGAGAGAAAGAAGATGGCAGGAAAAATCAGTTTTTATTCAATTACATCAGCTGAAGTATACCAGTAGGATATATATATATACAAAGACGCCTCTAACAGAATTAAGATGAAATGTACAAAGACTAAGTTAACCCTATGATACATAATGTAATTCAACAATATGTACGATGTTTGTTGATAATATCCTACTTAACATAATTATATTCATTTATTTTAAAAAACTGTTTTCTACATCACAGGTTGGTATAGGTTTTTGATCCATTAGAATTGGACTTTTTTTTTTATGCTCTTTTGCAACCAAAACATGACCACTGATTTAGAGTATCATGGACCATACATTTGATTGGTAGATAAATATTAGGGTGAAAAAAAGGGGCTCATTTTTTGCTCGTAAAAGACACCTATAGTGACCACTATATGCTCGTCGTTAAGAGGTTTTCAGCAACCAGCATTCTAGTATTCGTTAAAACATTTGACGCCATAAATCCTGCTAAATTTTGTCATGTGGGTTTGGTCTTTCAGCGACAACTATTGTGGTCTCAGAATAGAGATACTGCTAGCAACTACTATATGGTCGTGGGTAGTAGTTTTAGCACCAAGATTAAAACTACGCATTATTTTTCACTTAGATTTAACATTTTCAGCGACTAAAGAAGGTAGTCGATGAATATGACAACCAATCAGCGACCATATAGTGGTCACTATTATTAATTTTCAGCAATCGCTGGACCTTTGGTCGTGGAAACACTTGGCACGATAAACCCTACGATTTTTTCCTTCAATTTTGTCAGGTGCGTGATGATTTTCGTCAATTTGGGAATAATGAATTTCAAATCATTGATGAATGGGTAATCGTTACGATAGATGAGTGATCAATGAATTAAATTTTGAACTATACTATAGTGTTAGAATAATTAACATAATAGTTGATGTAATGTCAGATGACATT